TTCATCATTTTCTCATCTCTGCCTCCTCACTTGCCTTTACCTCTCCAGGGAAATACATATTCTCTTTAAACTGAATACCTGAGTAAATACCAGAATGTGGATAAATGGCTTGAGGACTAAGGTTGAAAGAGCCATCTTCCCACCACTGTTTTCTCAATCAAATCAACATTCCTCTGAAACTGCATTTCAGAAGAATAGCTGGGAGATCAATTGTGGGGCTCTATCTGTAGTTTCAGCCTCCTCTTGAAATCAGTGCGAGTGTCCTTGCTTTAAAAACAGAACAAAACCAAGGAACCATGAAGTTGAGAACTTCCAAACTGGACTGGTACATTATATGTCATGCAATAAATTATATTCTTCAGTTCACAACTTACTTGCTACCTGAATATGTTCACAAGTACGTTACAAGAGACAAGAAGCCTCCTTTTGCCTCATTCACCAAGAAATCGTGCACTGATCCCTTTAGATCCCTTTTCTAATCATTAAATTATTTAAATAATTTAAATCATTTAGAAAATGATATTCCAAGCGGCTTTTGTTAAAGACAAATAATTGAGATAGTATTCTATGAAATGGCTGTGTTAAATAAATGGATCAGAAAGGATCAAGGGTAGAATTTTCTTGAGAACTGGTGGCTTTAGGAGGGAAAAAAAGGAATATTTTTTTCTTCCCTCACAGCATGTAAAAACACGAGTTTTCCAAAGCTGAGCAGTGACATGCTCAAAATTCAAAAGATGCGTTATTGAAAATGATGTGTGTATGAATTTAAATAAGTTAATTAAGAAAGGTCTGTTTCCTTTTACTTGTCTGGTTCCAAAGATTAGTGTTGCAGATAAAATGACATAATTTACTTGTTAATCCACTCTAGCCTCCTCTCTAGTTTGCTCAGCTATCTTGACATAAAATATATATTTGTTCATCAAAACTTAGATTTCTGTAGGTAACTCTCAGAAGCACAAAATGACACTGAAAGCTTGCAGGTGGGGGAAGAAGAGCCCTTTCTAGTGACACCAAATACAGGAAACAATTTGAAGTGTGCTGGCATTAAATTTACTCATGATAAGTGGGGGGAGGAAGATGAATGAAACTCTGCTGGATTCCAACTTATTAGCACAATAAATGCCAACGGAATTGTAATGTACTGCTCTCTGTTTCACATAGCACCTCTTGTGATAGAGTTAGGCAAACAGAAGTTGTTCTAATCCACCACTTTCAGATGCTTAGCAACCTGTCAGAGTCACATGGCTATCATGTCCATTCTGAATAGCAAATATAACTTTGAAATGTATAGGGGGGAAAAACCGAGAACAAATTCGTGATGCAAAGGTGAGGCACCACATTTGCACTATGGATTAAAGAACTCAGGCAAATGTTTTATTTGCAGGTCAGAGTGCAATCCCAGTGATCCGAAGGCTTAGTGGCTTTGCTGATTGAGAAATTCTGAGCATTGTAGTCCTCAAAAAGCAACTTTCTTACCTTGTTTCCCTAAAAATAAGACCTAACCTGAAAATAAGCCCTAGTATGATTTTTCAGGATGCTCATAATATAAGCCCTACCGCCCCTAATAAGTCCTAGTTAAGTGAAACCCCGCCCTCCACCATTGTGCAGCAGCCAGAAGAAGATGACTTGATTGATTGTATTTGGATAAATGTAGATTGTTGTACATGAAAAAAAAAATCCCCTGAAAATAAGCCCTAATGCATTTTTGGAGCAAAAATTAATATAAGACCCTGTCTTATTTTCAGGAAAACATGATAGGTTCTGGAAAAGACTGGTAGCACCCTGTCTTATTTTCAGAAAAACATGGTAGGTTCTGGAAAAGACTGGTAGAAATTATGGCTAACTAAAGTCCATTTATGTCTAATATGTTCATGTCTAAATATAGATCCAACTCATAATGCAGTACTTAAATGAACCTTCCTGTTCCAGAAGGCTTTTAATTGAAATAACATCAACTGTGGGTCCTGAAGGCAATTATAATTGTATTTTAATCATTTTATCTTTTATTATATTTTAGTTGAATTTTAATTGTTGTAAGCAGCCCAGAGACCTTTGGGTAGAGTGGGTGGCATATAAGTTAAATAAATAAATAAATAAATAAATAAATAAATAAATAAATAAATAAATAAATAAATAAATAAATAAATGTTATGGCAAAAATAAGACTCATGCATCACCTTGAAGACTATCATTTTATTATGTATTAATCAGTAATGATGATAATTAAATATTTGTTTTGATTTTGTTTCTTCTTTGTCTTTCCTCTCACGAAATCTCTCAGAGATTTTGTTAGACTGGTCAGTTGACTGTAACTCCCTTGGCAAGCTGGATGTCCAAGGTGGAAAATGTTATGGCAAAAATAAGACTCATGCATCACCTTGAAGACTATCATTTTATTATGTATTAATCAGTAATGATGATAATTAAATATTTGTTTTGATTTTGTTTCTTCTTTGTCTTTCCTCTCACGAAATCTCTCAGAGATTTTGTTAGACTGGTCAGTTGACTGTAACTCCCTTGGCAAGCTGGATGTCCAAGGTGGATCTAACCACAGTAGTTAGAAACGAGCGGCCCGGCTATTCAGTGTTATCACACATTTGTGTATTTTACAAGGATTCTTAAGATGTGGAAGACTCTTGGGGCAACAGAACATTGCCTCACCTCTTGTTGGTATTACCTAGTCTGAGCCATTTCACGTTGCCTTGCTCATTAAGAAGCTTCTTCTGTTGTCTAGCAGAGGACAGAGAAGGTTGTGAAGCATCTCAACTGGGAGGGGAGGGGAGGAGGATTCGGAATAATTCCATTACCTTCTCATGGGCAGGCAGGGAGGGAGGGACAGAACTTGGGAGGTAGGGAAGAGAGACAAGCCACTTCAAAAGAATTAATCTGAAACTTAGAACTGCTCTGCTGCACCTTTCATATCTCGTCTCTCCCTACCCCTGTAGAATGAATCAACTTGACATTTAGCAACTTTTTGAAGAAATGGGGTGAAGTGGGTAGAACAGATCAAAGAGATGAGGCGGTGAAGATCTGAAAAAGAGCACCTTTCATCTTATACCCTATTCTTTCCCCCTGTTTTAGTAGAAGCAGATGAGTTCTTTGTCCCCTTTTAATAATCACAAGAAGTCTATCATTGTTTTACCTCAGCTACGTAGCCATCAGAAAACAGTCTGACAGGAATAATGTATTGGGATACTCTTTTTCTTGGATTGTATGATTCATGAGACTACACTGATGAAACTTAGAATTTACATAGCACACTCCAAGGATTTGAGGCATTTTATACACATAGTTGTATCAGTTCTTCTGGTGATTATTATGACACCAGGTGGCACCTCCTAGGCACTTGATTTATTGATGTATCACTTACTTTTTGGGGGGAGAGGAATAAAATCAAAATCTTTAAAAACAATATTCTCCTAAAACAAAGGAAAAGAGTCAGTTTCAGCAGTGTAGGTGCCAGAACTAGTTTAAATCACTAAATCAATTTCTGTTCAGTGACTGTGAATGTGGCCACTAGTTTAAATACCATGTGGCTTGAACTTGAGTCTTTTAATAGTCTGAACAGAAATCGATTCAATTTGGCAGTGTGACCACAGCTTTAGTGAGTTCATGGATGAGTTTTCATATGTAAGAATCACTGGATCAGGGTTCCTTCAGGTAAGCACCCTTGCAGAAACAGGAAATGCCCAGCTAAAGCATCCCTGATAAGTGGCCATCTAATAGCTATTTAAAACCTCCAGTGAAAAAGAGCCATGTTTGAAGACGACTATTGTATCACTTTTCAATCTCCTCTTGGCTAAACATAGCCTTTTTGAAGGTGGAGATGATAGTTGCTTGCCTCTAGTCTTCAGGGACCTGTTTTTTAAGAATTCTCCATGATTACAAACAGAGACTCTGAGATTATGTCTGCATGTTTCTTTAGTGCCCTTGGATTCATTTTATCTGACCCAGGAGATTTGAATTCATTTCGAATGTCTAGATATTCCCATACCATCTCTTCACCTACCTTGGGCATTGACCTGGCACAACCTTTCTATATTCTGCTTGCACTAGGCTTTCCTTTTGGAAGAAGACAGAGGCAGAGTAGGTACATTACACTTCTGCCTTCTCTCTGCGGCCCGTATGTATTGTTGCTGGTGCTCCTGATCCTGGTGGCGGTAGTCTGGCAGTGATTTTTTTTACTATTAAAGGTTCCACCACCACCCCATCCTGATGCTCTCAAAGACTTCTCTAGGGCAAAAGGGAGCCCCAGGGAGCCTCAGAACCTAAAAGGAGGGGGATAGGAAGTTTTTAGTTACTTTAAACTAAATGCTTCCACTGCCTGATGTGGGTTATGCAGCTGCAGAGTTATGCAACACAATTTTGCCCCACTGAGTTTAGGGGAGTTTACTGTGACAGGTAGAGACGAAAACTGTGGCTGTAGCAGTATACAATTCAGGCCGGATGCACCATTTCAATATACAGTTGTGCCTCGCTTAATGATTGCCTTGCTTAACGAGGAAATCGCTATACGATTAGTTTTTTGCGATTGCAAAACAATTTTTTAAACAATTTTTTTAATGGATTTTTTTCATTTAATGATGATCGGTTCCCTTCTTCGGGAACCGATTTTCGCTTTACACGATCAGCAAACAGCTGATCGTCAGGTTTCAAAATGGCCGCCAGCTGAAGAAAATGGCCCCCCGCTGTTTTCTAGGATGGATTCCTCGCTTTACAGGCACCGAAAATGGCCACCGTATGGAGGATCTTCGCTGGACAAGCAGGTATTCAGCTCATTGGAATGCATTGAACAGTTTTCAATGCATTTCAATGGGTTTTTTCATTTGTTTGATGATGTTTTAGCTCTACAGCGATTTCGCTGGAACGAATTAACATCGTCAAGCGAGGCACCACTGTAAAGTATATAGATACCACTCAAGGTTTTCATGAGAGCAGATAAAACTTAACTGAATTTCAGTTGATACTCAGTTGATTATTTGCTTTTGGATGTTTTTCAGAGACGGAGGGAATCTCATTTAAGATTCAGACCCATGTGAAAGGACCTTTGGGCAGAGATGTATCATTAAAGCTGCTGTTTCATTTACCAATCAGTTACCCGTCAAGCTTGCCAAATATCTCTGTTAACTCTGAGCACCTTACAAGGACACAGTGTATGGCTGTAAGAGAGAGATTACTTGAGGAAGCAAAGAAACATTTTTCACAACCCATGGTACACGAGCTGATTCTCTGGATACAGCAGAATCTCGGGGATGTTGTCAAGCAAGCCGGAACATCAGCCTGCAGTGAGAAAAGTACTCTGTCAGCAGGCACAGCGGAGGATGATGGCATCTGGACTGTCCTTTTGCATTTAGATCATATGAGAGCTAGGAGAAAATATGTCAAAACTGTGGAAAAATGGTGCACAGATCTAAAGCTGACTGGAAGACTAATGTTCATGGGCAAGATTATTCTGATTCTTCTTCAAGGAGACAGAAGGAATATTAAGGTGCAGACACTGCCTTTTGTTGCTGGTTTGGTTAACGCAGGGAACAGTGAACCTAAATTCATTCTGTATTTGGGGTAGAGTTGCTTGGTAATAATACCACTAAGAAA